AACATTTTAAAATCAGTAGTTGCATTAATCTATTTCAGACATCCTCCTTCATCGTACGATGTAAGTAGTCCTTAGTATGTCAGTAAGTTATGATATGTATATTACCTATCAGTATTTTAACTGCTTCCTGATAAGGTAAGCGATTCTCTTCCTTTTTCTTTTCAGTTTCCCGTATTCAGTTTTCTAAGTATTTCACATGCAGCCCTTGAATTTCGCTTCTCTCTTCTGGGGGCACTGCACTGTGCTACCCCACAGTTACCTTGACTTGCCACCTCTCTGGTGAAACAAAACCAGGCAGACATCAGTGCTATTTTATGGTTGAGGAAAAGAGCAAAGCACAGATAACCTGCAAGACATATCCAAAAAATCTCCAGATGGCTAAGACTGACAAAACACTACTCATGAAGGGGAGGCAGTGAGCTCCAAGAGCTGCTCCCAGGCAGGAATAACCCATGAGTCCCATACCTAGTGACAGAAATAGGCCACGCTGATCGGTTTCAGCATGATCCGGCAGAGTCCTTACTTTGTCCCACTGCCAAGAAGTCATAATACCAAGCAGCCCTTGTGCCAGCACACTCCTATTAAGTCCTAGGATGTTGCCACAACACGGAAGGCACCCTTTTAAGTGTGTTTGAAGCTCACAAATCTAAATAGCTCTGTAGCATATTCATAATAAGAAATGAAGCTGCACACAGACTGCTGGTAGTGCAGCGGGTAGCAAGGGAAGCAGCTGGTTCCCTACCACCTCCTGACCGCAGGAAGAAAGCTTATCTATACCCACCTGGGAAAACCGCTTCGTAAGAGACAGCGGCTGGCAATACAAGTCCCAGTACTGGCCGCCTATAGACGGACAGTATACATACCCCACTTCCTTGAATGTCCAAAGAACAGCGTTAGAATACAGCCTTGCCGACTTGCCCGCATACCTTCCTTCCTGCTCTTCAGGGGTGGTTGACTCGAAGACACCCGCCTCAGGCTGGGTTACGAGCTGAAGTCATTACAGGTTTTACAGGAGTAAGTAGATGGAAAATACAAAAACTACTAGGAAAATAAAATGCAAACCTCTTTAGCTCGCAGTTAGTAGAAGATACATCCTTAGTTGTTTTAGAGCATCTTAACTAACATCCTTAGGGAAGGGAAACAGCCAGGGAAGTGAGGGCCCAATTTTTACATGACAACCTTATTCTCTGATAACTAACATGCAGTTCTGGGTGGAAAAATAAGTTGGGAAGGCATGCAGGAAAAAAATGGAGAGTCCTGAAGTTAGATTTCTTCCTCTATTCCTGCAATTCAGGAGCATCTGGCTGGTCGTTTGTCAGCAGCATTCAGCATCACCCAGAATTGATAGCACCCCGTTTTTTTCTGTTAGATATGCCACTTTCTCCCCGTCAAGTTTTAGAAAGAAAAATGTGGGTCAAGAAACTCCCAAACACTATAAAGGCGATGCGTTCTGCTGAGCGTTGTTTAGCTGTAATGTCCAGGCAGATCTTGCTTCAGCAAGAAAAGCAAAATGGGGAGGTGACTTCTACTTGTTTATGCTTTTGTTAATATCACTCGGTGGAGTTTGCTGTACCGGCTCTTGGCTCACTTAATCTTGAGAATTGTTGGCTCCAGGAACACTAATGGCATTGTGCATTATCTGTGTTACATAGAGAAAAAATTGGCATATACTGCTAAATGTGGTGCTTCTAAACATGTCACAATGTCTCACGCTGCAAAAGGTACCTTACGTATCTTTCGTACTTTCTTTCTACAACAAAAATGTCCATGTCTGCATCAAGACAGTGGTGTAAAAAGAATAGAAAGTGATTGTGTCTGTCACTTGGAGTTGGATGAGTTCTCACTGTTGGTTCAAGGGCAGGAAACACACACACCCCCCCCCCTTTTTTTTTTTTTTTTTTCCTGATTTTTAAACTCATCTCCTGTGTGTAAAGGAGTGCGTAGTTGTCTATCATTCAGGCTGGTTTTGACAGATTTCTCAGAATCCTTTTCCATCTGCTGGCAACCAAGGAATGCAGCACTTAGAGGCTCCAACAAAACCTCCCTGAAACTAATATTTGTACGACTGCTGGCAACCAAGGAATGCAGCACTTAGGGGCTCCAACAAAACCTCCCTGAAACTAGTATTTGTACGCTGAATAATGTTGAGGTACACTGTGCTAGCTCAGGGGAGCAGAACTAAGTATTTTAAGTAGCTTGGTTTTTTTCTCCTGCAGCTTGGCACATCCAAAGTTTACAAAGCAGATACAGAAAGCAGAAAGAAGAGGGAAAATGACATGAGAACTGGCAATCAGTAGCGGATTCCAGGGGCGAATAAAAAAGTGCTTATGGCAGGCGTGTAGGCCAGGGAAGCTATGACAGACAGGACAGGAGGAGGACATTTATTGTCATCTCTGCTTCAAAGGGAGATCAGAGAACACACAGTCCTCTAGCCCTCCTTTATTATTTATTGGCAATAGAGAAGAACAGAGGATCTTCTCTGTAATCTTCCTTTTGGTACTGCTGCGTGCAGGTGCACAAAGAGATAAAATAGAAGCCTTCTCCTTGTGTGCAGAGAAGATGACAAGACACAAATGAGTTGCTCAGAAGTGTAACATTTAAGTAAACCACCATATTACTGTCGTTTTATTATCCCGATAGTTTTGTGTTGTTTTTTTTTTTCTTTTAGTAATTGACAGCCATGCATCTAGAAAGGTGCAGCACCAAGACCAGAAAGGGAGTACAAGTTTGTAAATGCATGTCTGGTGCAAGAGCCTGTTGGCGACGACGCAGGTAAACCAAACTCCTTCTTTTCAAAGCAACTGTTGGGAGACTTCTGGAGAATTATCAGTAGGAACGTTAAACAGATCCTCAAGAATTGCTTTCACGTGATTTAATGCTAGAATAACTCCATTTCTATGAAGCCTGCAAGAAGTCTGTTCATAATTCATATGAGTGGAGGGAGGGATAAATAAAAATAAAACCTGTGTTATCCAAACCTCCAGATCTCCTACTGTGTTTCTTTACATGTGTCTTTTATTCTTGTTTCACTCTAGCTTAAAAAAAAGTTTTACTTATTGTTAGCATCATAAAAAAATGGGATTGAAACATACCTGGTGTCAAATGAGTGTGAGCGCTAATAATGAAAATAGTAACGGCTAGGTTCCAAAAAGAAGCATGATAGGTACCAAGAGTAAGAAGAATTTAAATAGCTCCATACAAGTCTAATAAACTCTTTAAAAAATCCTTTTATTGATTCATTACCATACAAAATTTATTCAAATTACATCCATTTGAAGTGGTAAGATCACAGCTAGAGAACAGGTCATCCTTTAATAAATCTATTTACAAAACTCACCATAAAAGCTTTTTTTGTTGGTTTTTTTTTGTTGTTGTTTGGTGTTTTTTTTTTTTTACAGTATTTTACAGAGGTTTTTTTTTTAAACTAGCATAGAATGCAAAGCTAAATTAGATTAGTATTTGCCCACGCACACTGGGACAAGTGTTTAATTTGTACAAAAAAAAAAAGATGGTCTGCGTTAGTCTTCATTTTCTCTTCCCCCGCAAAAGTGCCCCTTTGTCTCACAAATCTTCATGCTCACACAGCTTTTACTTTCCTCTTCCACAAGACGAAAACTTTAAATACTACAATTTTATTTACAGATCCACATCTAAAAAAAAAAAACTCTTAAAAAATTACAAACCAGCTAGAAAATACTCTGGCAGTGTTTACAAATTAATTCTATTGTACAAAACTGCTAGGTAACTAAAGTGTGAGTTGGGAACATACATCAACTTAAATACAACTACTGAATGATCTATGCACACGTTTGTACATATAAACACACTTAACACTGTTTAACAGTTCTTTATGTGTTGCCCTTTATACATTTGTTATATTCCAAGACTCACACAGTCATACAGTTTTCTTATTAGTACTGTGACTTCTCGCCTTTTCATGTGTGAGCTTTCATAGCAGCAACTCAATGGTACCAGAAAACCTGCATACGTAATATTCTACTACAGTACAAGTAGTACTAATTTTCTGAGTATGTTAGATAAGCACAACAGTAACGCAAACAAAAGGATTATATGGGCAGCATCTAATCAACATTACATTAATTTAGCCCAGAACATGGCAACATATTTTACACTCAAAAAAAAAAAAAAAAAAAAAATTATTTAAGACTTCTTAGAATTCCTCTCACTTTCAAAAAAATAAATATTGGTACTATACTATACTACCAAAGATCTTCAAAAAAATAAATGCAATTCAGTTGATGTGGTACTTACAGTTATGTACTTCGGGAAAAAAAAACAACAAACTAGTTCCATTTTGCTGGCAAAGAGAATTATAAAAAGCTGCAAGCAGAGGAAGCTAACCCACTGAGATAAATATGATATATTGAACAAACAAAGCTTGGCATAAGTGTTTTCCATAGAGGGAAAAACCCACAGTGCATCTCTAGTAGGCACTTAACTCAAAGCCCCACTTAGTACCACAAAAATCTACGTACCAGTTCTAATGCACACTGGGGGCAGTAAAATTGAACTGTGCATCTTCGTTCTAGTTTAAAAAACCAACCAACAAAAACTACTTTCACACACACACGCTCACACACAAGCATTTTTAAAAATCTGTGATTACTACGAGAAGTGGCAGAACTTTATACTTTTCAATATTTGCAATATACACTACATTTACAGTGTATTTTTTTTTTATTAAAAGCTTTTAAGGACGTAAGTATTTGACCTCATAATGAGACATATACACAGCTCAAAATGAGCATTAGGACAGCAATCGAAACATTCCCACAAGTAGCTGAAGAATCCCATTTCACGCTTTTGCATTACTTCATATTTATGTTCGCTGCAGGTACAATCCATGTTGTGACACTCAAAAGACATGCATTCTCTGCAGAAGGCACGACCTGAAATACTATTAGAAAAGTGTTATTTAGGACTAAACCAGTTCATTGAGCCCTTCTCCGTAAGCCCACTCGTCACGGGAAGCAGAGACTGGGGGAGTGTGAAGACAAAACATTTACGGTCACCTGCTTGCACTTGCCGACTCAAGGCGCTGGAGCTCGGGGTCAAGGAGAAGGCCTTGCTGTAAAAAGCCTTCGCTTGTCGTTTATAGCATTTTAGGGAGTATTTAATTAAAATATCACCACTGTTCAAGAGCCTATTAATTTATTTAATAATACTATTTTACAATAAGTAGGGGACAACTCCGAATGATGGCAGGTTTTTTTGATTCCAATAAAAACATGACTTAGATAGGGACATCGTTTAACAGAATCAGCTGTATATAAATTCATCCACCAACGAAGGAAGCTTCTCTAAATCGTAAGCATCAAAGAGGTCACTGATGCCTTCTTCATCCCCGAGGCTCAGCAAATAATCTTCCTGAAGCAGAGGAGGCAGCAAATTCACAAATGGTCCTTCAAAGTTTGAGGGAATTTGGTCCTCGGTCTGCTGGAGAAGGTTGGCTGGAGAAGCCAGTGGAGAGATTGTTGCCATATTTACGGAGCAGTCACCTTGTCCTGAGTTAGCAGAAGCCACTTCTGTAAGAGGAGGAAGAGAAAAAATAAAGACGACATATTTAAATCTCATTCGAAATACCAGGCACAGATCAAACAAAGTAACCGCTGCCTAAAGGGCCTTTCATAAAGCATCTTTTCAACAACAAAAATGGCCTCTGTGTGGTTTCTAGCTTGGTTTTGGTATGTTACAAAGGGCTTCTAAAAAATATTTGTGTTGCTATCACCACTGACTTTTCAACTAAAAAAGGATTTTACAAGGTTTAAACAACTACTGGGGGAAAAAAAAAAATAATCAAGTGCAGTGAGAGAATTCGGTGGAATTCATAGTCAAAGCAAAAACTTTCTAGGCAACAGATGTCATCGGTGACACCGGGTAGCTGTATACACATACACGGAGATTTCTGCCTCTCGTGTTGAGGCGAATCTTTGCTGCTACTGTCCTATTTGAAAATGCAAAAGGAAAAAAATTATTTCTTCCTTCAGTATAGCAAAACCTCTGGTTACATGATATGCAAATAGGAAACTTATTTTAAGCAACTGATGCAGAGGAAAACCTATTTCTCGCTATATAAACCCAAAAGGCACAGTGGGAAAAAAATCAATACCTTAGCCTTTCACTTCTTAGAAAAATAAAGCCAAAAAATAAGAGCTGGATATCTGAAGTTCAAAACGAAGTCTTGAACGAGAGCATGAAGGAAGGCCATCAGTATTACAAAGAAATAATTTTACCTTTGGAAATGGTTTTGGAAATATTTCCGTTGTGGTCCTGACTATAGGTTTTCATTGGGCTGAGGGCATCGTTCTCCTCTGGGCACAGATAAACTTCAATAGGTCCTTGAGTACTAGATAAATGTATCAACGCACTCTGCTAACAAAACAAACATCAGGAAGGTGTCATACCAAGGAACAAAACAGAATATTGACGATACGGAGTAAATTCTTACTGGGGTGTGAGGCTTTGAATACATTTTTTACTAATCAAAAGGACCTGAAATCCCCATTTTTTTGAAGACGTGAAAGGCTTGGCTGATGGGTCTTGCCGACTGGCAGAGAACATAAGAGCTTTTCCCCACTGCTTGTAGTGCACAAATCTCAGACGCCCACCATTTTATGTGTTGTATCATAACCAGGGAGGTATAAAGGCTTGAACTCCTAACATTTTCTTACAACCACAATAACCTGAAGGGTTCTGATGGAACGGAACTATGGGATGCAAGTCACAGGTTTTATTATTATTCATAACAATATTATTGGATGCTATTTGTGTAAATGTTTCTGCTTTAAAAGGATGCCAAAAACACCTTTTCTGCTCCCCCAAAAACTTCAGCACTTACGCTGAATCCAAACAGCTATATGTAAGTTCACCTGTTTATCGAGGAAGTTTTTCCAAATAACACAAAAAAAAAAGAGAGAAAACCAGATGCCATTTTCTTCACCCAAACTTGTTTATATAAGTCCTTCCACCCCCTCAAGGCAGCAATTTTGATGGTGGTTCTGAATAACAGGAACTCCTAATTCATCGCAGGAAGTTACATTTTCTTAACTTTCGTGCATGGATGCAATAAAACAAGATGACGTATAGAGACATAGAAAAATCCGCAAAGTTGCTCTTTGTGTTGTGATGGAAAAATCATGAAGGGCTCTGGTTACAAATAAACCTGCTCCAGCTGTATTGCGTTACTAGTTTTAAAAAGCATGAATGCAGGCATTATATACCTCTTTGCAGACTTCTTTCAAATACCTTTTATTCTGCCCTTTGACAAAAAATTCCTCATATTATTTGCGTTCTGACAGTTGTGTAACACAATAGACAGCGTTTACAAATATAGAGAACAACAACTGAAGGAGGCTTCCCCAGGGCAGAGAAAACAGATAAGAGTACTTAGGGCAATGCTATAGATAATGAGAAAAAAGGAGATGGGAAGAGCAGGAGTTGGAGAAGGTACCGTCGAGTGACTGAGGTATGCAAAAAAGACACTGAAATGTAACCGCAAACGAGAGACAGAAATAGAAGTTTACTGCCTGAAGCTGAAAATTAAATTAATAAGTTGGGTATAGGGGATAAGGGAGGCCGAAGCACTAGTTTTAATGATTGCGTGCATCTCTCTCTACCGGCTTGATTCCACCGAATTAAAAATCAAAGCGTAACGCCTAGGGGAAAGAAACAGGAAAGCAAGAAACTCTAACAGTAATATTTATGGATACTGATAAAAGATATCCCTTCCTCATTGCAGCAAAATGATTTATTCTTCCAAAAGCTGCACTTCGGTTCAAAGGGGAAATGAAGGACAAAGGCAGAAAAAAAAAAAAGAAAAGAAAAAAAGATAGAAACCGTATTGGGCCTAAGCAAGTGAAAAATAATCCTAGGAAAAGAAGTGACGGGGAATCCCGAATCTGTTCCTGCCGGCCCAGCAGCCGGTAGCCCTGGGCTCACCAGAACCCACCCAACGGTGGGGATGAAGGAGTAACGCAGAGGTATGAACACAACACGGAGGAATTTGGGGGTTAGCCCTTGAGTAAAGAAATTAGGGACACTTTCTGAATCTCTAAAGCAGTGGCTCGTGCAAATTATTTACGTTTACCCGACATAGTTGGGTCTGTCATAGCAATGCGGAATTGTAAAGCAGCACACTTTTGCCATCAAGAGGTAAAATCCCAGGAGCAGCTGAACCATGTGGTTTGTAAACCGCGAGAGGAATGAAGAAAAGTAAAGCTACTCCCTGAGGATATCTTCAAAGAAAAGCCACCTAAAGCATTTTTCTCCGCAATTGTGACACAGGTGAAGGAAGCAGCTAAGTTACCCTAGTCATCTACCTGAGGTAAGGAAAAGAAACAAAAGGAGGACCAAAAAATGAGAGCCAAACATCTCACATTCAAAAGCCGGCGCTCAGAGAGAGAGACTGTGGCTTGAGAAGCAAGGGGGAACAGAAGAGGGACTCAGATGAACACAGACAGCTTCAGAAACAGAAGTACTTACAATAAAATAGGAAAGGAAATCCCCATCCCCTACAGACTTTGGGATAGCAAACGAAAGCGCGTTAGCAGAACGTACAAAGTCTTACAGAGATGCGTAAGATCTGTGTCAATGAAGCAAAGGTGATGATGGAAGAAGGAAGGGCAAGAATGGATTCTAGGAGTAAAACACAGTAACTGTAATACTTCAGAAAAGAAAATCCTACATGAAAACATATGTCTCAATAAATTAGGATATCAGTACTACAAGTCATCAAGATGCTTAAGGCATTGAGTTATCCATGAACTTTATAACTAAATCTACATAAAGCCAAAAAAAATCAAAAAAGAGTACGAGCTGAATCTCTTAAGAGAAAGATTTTACATGGTTACAAACAGGAAGATTTAACTGTCAAGGAAGAGCTCTTCTTTACATAAAGCATGGCAAAAGAGAGTATCTGTAAATAGCATGGATGACTCTGAAGGAAAGCTGGAATTGAGAGAAAAGGAACAAATAATGATTGCCCTGTGTAAATTGATTTTTTTTTCCCTAAGTTTCCCCTTTTTTTTTTTTTAAAAAAAAATCTCTGAAGTTTGTAAGACAGATGACTACAGGACTGTATGCCAATATAATCCAACTTGGGCACCAGTTACACCAGTAAGACTCACAACACACTTCCTTCATCTCTAGAAAAACAATATATAACTTGTCAGGAAAGGTCAGGTTCTCCTTACCTCCACTGGATCAGGCACTTCAAGTCTTGTTTCTGGAGGAGCTTTCACAACTATAACAGTTTGGTCTTTAAGGCCACTAATTTTTCGAATATCTTGATAAGTCACATAAGCTAATGTAATCACCGTTAAGGAATTTTCCAACCCGGGTTACAATACATTCAGACTATTAGAAGAGGCAGAATTCTTTGAATTATTTTTTTTTTTTTCCATTTTCTCATGGCTACGTTGCTCTTAGCCCAAAGTTTTCTGTTCTCTACACTGGTTGTGACTGCAGTGAAGCTGCGTGAGAACCTCCCGTTGATCTATGAGCTGGGGCCACGACCGAGTGACAAAAGGGATTCTCCGTGCTCAGTCCTTCCCTCTCCTTTACACACCTAAAGCTACGTAAGCGAAAGCTCAACAAAACCTGAAAGTACTCACAGACTGCGCAAAGCAAAATTTTTTTACACACTTGCTATCAAAATGCAGAGACTGGGAAATCACAGAAAAAATGTAAAGGAATTTACAGATGCATGTTATAGATGTGCATACACAATATTTTGAAGTCATCGAGAAAATCATAATTTGAGTTTTCATTTGAGGGTGTTTTGTAAACATTTATACAACAAATATAAACAAACATATAAACATTTATACAACATTCATATATTCATATATTAAATTATATTCTATAAAATTATTTCAAAAACCTCTTTAAAAAACTACTTTTAGCAACTTGACAGTGCAGAAGGTCGATTTCTGCATAAGGACGGAATGAAGATGAGTATTTTGCTGTTCAAC